TGAGATAGAAGGATTGCAACTTGGAGCCCAAGTAGGCCACCTGATCACAGTACAAAGGCCCTGGGTTCAACACCCCCAGTACCACACACACACACACACACACACACACACACACGAAGCAAGATCTGAACAGATATAGATATTTCACAATAAAAAGAATGGCCAAAGACATCTGTAGATATTCATGCTTTCAGTCTTTATAAGAAAAAAAAAAAAAGCTAAAACTACAGTGAAAAACTTCTAACTAATTACAGTGACTAAAACTTAAAACGCTAATACCATGTATTTGCAACAATATGAAGCAGCTGGTTTTAGTATATGGAACTATAAAATAATCTTTTGGGAAAAGTTTTTCAGTTTCTTAAAAACAAAGCACAGTTCACCATGCCACCTACGAAGACAGGGCTAACACTGTAGGTAAGTAAGATTCCTTACTCTTTGTATTTTTCTAAGGAAACTACAATTGCCTCTCAGCCAAGCCTTAGAGTTTCCTTTATGATAATGATTAGCAATTTTGTTACAAACATGTGAAGCAATGAACCGTGGCTCCTGGCTTGGGAGAGTGCTTTGCACAAACACCAGGACTGATGATATATACCCGAGTTTCACTTGCCATGGCTGGATCTTTAGCAAAAAATGTCTGTGTGACCAGGCCTACAAAAAGTCACAGTCTCTAAGACTTAACCAGGTAGAAATATTCCATCTGCCACACTTTCCCTATAGTTTCCTGTCAGAGAGAAAGAATACTCAGCATACTCAGACAAGGAAAAACTAGCAAGTTGGTTAAAACTCCTTGGACGCCACTAATACCTATCTTTTTCCTGCTGCTTACTTTTTGTCATCCTTTGCTGTCACAAATCTTGGCCACAAGTATAAAATGCTTTTGAGTCTTATGAGTTCTTTCGGGAAAATCCCTAAAGGAAAAATCACTTACATACTCTGTTTCTACGTATTCACCCAAGAAAAATGCAAATACATATTCACACTAAGACTAGTACATGAGGCTTCATAGCAGCTTTATTTGCAATGATCAAGAACTGGAAACATGACCAAAATGTCCACCAGTAAGTCAATAGGTCAAGAAATTGTGCTACATCCACACAATGAGATACTAGTCATAATAAAAAAGAAATGAAATCTGGATATATAAAACAGTGTGAACAAAAGCCACTATGTTGAGGGAAAAGCCAGGTACAAAAGAGAACACACATTATATAAACAAATTTACATTACATTATAGAAAATAAGAACTAATTTACAGTGACAGAAAAAGAATCAGTGGCTTTGTTGACTCAAGACTGTAGAAAAAAGAGAAAAACTTCGCATATGAAAAATGTTGTTCTCATGTTCTGTATCTTGATTTTATTAGTAGTTTCATACATACATAGTATTTTTTGGAAAGTTATTAAATTTCACACTTTAAATACTGCATCTGTCTCAGTACTGTACTGTTAAGAAACCTAAGATAGATACATATGATATCAGGATGATGAGGGAGTTTTCTGCATAACAGATTTGATTTGTAAGAAAAGTGATGTCATACATAATAAAGTGAAGTCATAAGTAAATGATAGGACTTAGCAGAGGTGTAAGAAAATGGTAAACATCTGAAACAGTGAAAAAATAGAAGTATCTGACAAAAATAAAAGACTGGCTATGAAAATTACAGTTAAGATTGATCATTAATGTTTATTATTATCAATTTACTCTTGTTCAACTCCCTTCAAGGTGCATGCATGGGAAGAGAAAACAATTGATTTACATAAAACTCAGTTTTGCTAAATACAACAAATATACAACACAAGTATTATAGAGAGAATAATGGCCTCCAAAAGTATCTACACCCTACTTTCCAGACACCACGAGTATGAAATCTCACATGGCAAAAGGGATTCTTGCAGATGTTACAAGTTAAAGATTCTGCAAGAAGGAGATTATACTGGATTAACTGGGTGGGCCCAATGTATTCATAAATGTGCTTATAAATCAAAGATAAGAACAGGATAGTTAGAGGAGACAGAACATAAGAGAACCGTCACAGAGATACAACATAAAAAATTCAGCATACCACTGTGACTCTGATAAAGAAAAGGACCACAATCTATAGAATGCAGGCAGTCTCTGGCAAATGGAAAGGCAAGGGATGCCATCTCTAAAGCCTCTAGAAGGAATACAGGCTTGTTGATATCTTGATATTAGCCCAAAAAGATTCAGTTTGACCTCAGACTTCTAGATAACTTGTGTTATTTTTAAGCCACCTAGTTTGTTTATCTCAGCAGCTAGGGAACCAGTATGTTAAGAATTAAAATAAAAACATCATGATATCTAAACCAGATGAGAAATTATATAAAGTAACTCATTGATGATTGAAGAGAAAAAGTGAAATGTCAACAGAAAGATATAAAATACAGCTAAATATGGCACTTTTCTAAATTAAAAAAGGGAGATTGAAAACAGTAATAGGAGGAAGGGACACTATTTTGCAATAGTGTAAGCTCACTGTTAGCAGGAAATGCTTCTGATTCATCATGGTATCCCAAACCCCAAGCAAAATGCCTGCACACAGTAGGTAGGCATCTACTGTTCAGAGAATAAAGAAATAAATTTATATCACTCTTATCACAAGCTGCCCCTAGAAAGAAGATATAAACACAGATGGCAAGAAAAACATGAGGTTACTAGGAGCACAAAGCCAGTCAGAGATGAACTAACGGGGTACAAAAGACTTTGACTTTTCATCTCTTCCTGGATGTCACATGCTATTTCAAGAAAATAAAACCTTCAAAGAACTTCAAAAGATGTCAAAGATTTCTATACTTTGACTTTGCACACAGTACCAAAAATGAGAAGGGGTAGAGGTTGGAGAGCTGAATGACTATGCATTTGCTTGAAGTGTTTATATATGAAGAGAGCTCTCTATCTACCTCCCTTTTCTATTCTAAAAGCAGAAGTAAAGAGAGGTCCCACAGTGAACACCTATTACTTATCTGCCCATTTAACAACACCATCCTTGAGGTAAACACCTCCCCTACTCCCCATTCCCTATGGCCTGCTCACCACTGCTAGTCACAGGCTTTCAAATACAACTCAATCTAGCCAAAGCAGTCCATCACCCTGGCCAAAGTGAATGACACAATTCAATAAAAAAAATCCTACCCATGCCAGGCATGTTCATGCACACCTGCAACTCCAGAACTCCAGGAGGGTGACAAAGGAGAATTACAACTTCAAGCCCAGCTCAGGCAAATTAGAGATGTGGTGAAACTCTTCTCAAAATAAAAGGAAAGGGGCAGGGACATTTTAAGGCCCTAGGTCTGTGAAGAACCTGGGTCCCATCCTTGCTACGGGAAAAAAGAAAAAATTACATCAAAGATTTTTTACTAGAGCTAGTAGAAGAGATTGCCTCTTTCTCAAAGAAAACAAAGTGGGAGTTGAAAGTAGCTTCAGTCCTCAGCCATAGGCAACAAACCCACATTCAGAGGAAAGCAGAGGCAAGATATAGAGACAATGATTTAATGACATCTAATCCCTGTATTTAGTTGCTTCAAAACAGAGCTAAAAATAAGTTCCATCCCTCAACTCTTCTATTTCATTTTATTTTTTATTTGGTACAATAAAGTAGATTTTACTCAGTTTACAACAGCAAAAACACTAATTCAAAAGGCCAGTAAATATTTATCTTTAGGGCTTGGGCGAATGCTCCTGGCAGGCGCAAGGACCTGGGTTTGATTCCCAGCAGTGCTTGCCCTACCAGCCTACACACCGTGCGGCCACCAGAACTGGGTGTGGTGGCACATGCCTGTAATCCCAGTGCTCGACAGGCTGAAATGGGAGGATCACTATGAGTCTGAGCTGCATAGTGAGAACCTGTATCAAATAAACAAATCTTAAAAAAATATATTTGCTTCTAAAACTTAAACATGTTATACAGACCCAGTTAAACTGCCGTTTCTCTAAGCCAAAGTGGGGCTGTTCAGAGACCACAATTACAAGTCTTCTTTTCCTCCTGTTTAGTTTCTTACTCAGCACTGCTGTTCAACTGAAAAGACTTTTACATAGTATCACTGAAAATGTTTTTAAAAAAGAAGACGGACTTTTTAGACAACACTTCTGCATTACGTAAAAAGAGATTCTTGATCTCTGAGGTCCTCTCTAATTCAAACATCCCATATTTGCTTTTCTTTTGACAGCCATAAACAAAAGAAGCTCACAACAAGAGACACCGAGTCACCTTAATTCACATCAAGAAAAGCATATAATGACCCTAAACATAAATCCCAACTGATTAGCCAATTTTATTGTTTATATTACAATGGTGCCAGAGTGAAAAAAGGAGCGATAGATATGTTCCCTCAAAGGAATGATGAAAGACTAAAAATAAGTAAACAAATAATATTCAACCCCCAAATATTAATTTGGCTACTGGTCAAGAAACAAACTAAAGATGAAATTAAAGGCAAAACCAAATAATTAGAGACATTTACAAAACTACTTCAACACACAGAAATGGAACAGTTTTACACTTTATATCTAGTTGCCCCACCAAAGCCTCATACATCCTAAGAAGAGGTTCTGGGAAGTGGCTGAATCATGACAGCATGATAATCATTAGTGGATGCATCAGCTAATGAATTTATAGCTGACTTACTCTTGAGGTGGGCTCTGGTCAGAAGAGGTAGGTCACCAGGAACACAGCTTAGAAGGGTTATCTCCTCTATACCCTTTGCCCTCTCTCTCAGCCTCCTGCCCCCATGCTGTGAGGAATTTCTCCTCTGCCACGCTGCACTGCCTTGGAGCCCGCTGACGATAGACTGAAACTGTCACAAACTGTGAGCCAAATAAACCTTGCCTCCTTACGCTTATGAGTGTTAGGTATTAGGTTTTACCTACAAGAAAGTAACTAAAGCATTTGGTTTGCTAGTTGTACTCACATCTTGTAAATTTTGGCATTTTATACAAATTACTGTACAAAAATTCTTATAAATTGCCATCAGCTTTACCTTGCTTCTTGTCTTCACTTTTGATTTGCTCTTCTGTTTTCTTTTCAACTTCTTCTTATTTAAAGTTTTCTTATTCCTAAAAATTTTTAAAGTGGAAAAAATAATTATGAATGTTCATATTAGAATATATAAAACTATTAAAATAGGAGATACTTGACTATAACTTATAAACCTAATAAAATATACTCTGCATATAAGATTATATAAAGTAGCTATGAGAGGGTAACAATATTATATATCTAGGAAACATATAATAATTATAAAAATTTGCTGCAAAAACTTGTATAAAAATAGAAACAAAAGGTATTAAATGAAGTTTTCTTAAACTTTAGTCAATAGTAAAGACTAGTAATAAAGATCAGCTATGTCCATTTTGCACAAAAAAAAACTAAAGAAATGCTCTTTGCTCTAATAAAGACTAAGTGCAGAAAGACTTAAGAGTCACTTTTTCCTAAATTACTATAGGGAAAATTGTAAAGACATACACTTTGCATGTTCAAAACTAGTTTTCATTATGTCATGGCCCCCTTTTTAAGAAAAAAGAAGTTCCTAAATGACTTTAAGATTAAAAAATGAATACAAGCTATAACAGAGGAAGTGAGAGGCAAAGTAAACATTTTTATTTAATATTTTTATGTTCACCATGCTAGCATGTAGATTACCACTAGGGAGTTAAGATACAAAATGAGGGGACGGGGAGATGGCTCAGTAGAATAAGTGCTTCCCTGGCAAGCACAAGGGCCTGAGTTCAATCCCCGGTTCAGAAAAAAAAAAAAAAAAAAGATACAAAATGAAAAGAACGGTTCTTGCCCAGGAAGAGATAAAAGACTTGAACAGCCGTTTAATGACCTAGCAAGAGAATGGTACTGCTACAATAAAGACAAAAGGGGAAGAGAAAATGAAAGAACAAGATAATGATGGTGGTTGTGATGATGATTCTAGATTCTAATGTGGTCACGTCCTAAAGACCCAGTAACTAATTTGGTAGAAGTAATGACAAAAGAAAATTTAAGCCTCATCACCTGGAGGTAGGGATGCCACATTCCCAAAAGGAAGTCATGTAGAAGTGTTAATTTGTTTTAATGAAAAACCAGGTTCTATTCTGGTGAGTCTAAGATACTAAATTTCAGTAAGATAGACATAAGCAATGAGAACATGAAAACCTTTTCTTGATACCTACTAGGTTTCATTCCTCAAATTGAAACAGTCACGAAATCTTGTCAGCTGTGTCTCATAATAAATAGTTCCTGATTCTATCTGCGCATCAATACTGCAGCTGAACTAATCAGTTACTATCACTTCTTGTCTGGACCATTCTCATATCAAAGCTTCGTAACTCATTTTTCCACATTCACATTTACACCCCTTCAATCCATTCTTCACAAAGGAACTCAGGACACTTTTTAAAAGAACAAATTTAACTGTGTTACTTCCCCACTTAGAGCTCAGAATCTTCTCAATTAAAATCCAAAAGCATTGATGGCTTAAAAGATATTCTTATAATACCCAACTTCTGCCAACCTCTCATCCTTCACTGTGCATTCCACTGACTATGCAAAGCGATTGAGTACCTTGGGACTTTCATAAAACCTTCCCCTGTGCCTGAAATTCTCTCCTTATTTCCTGTTATCCACTATTCACCTTTGAAGTTCCAGTGTCACTTTAAGTTCCTATTTCCACAGACTGGGTAAATATCCCTAATATAAACTATAAATTCTCAATTCCTCTCTCTCTCTCTCTCTCTCTCTCTCTCTCTCTCTCTGTCTGTCTCCCTCCCTCATTCCCTCACTCCCTGTGGTGGGATTATAGGTGTGTGCTACCCTGCCCAGTTTGGAGCCAGCACAGAGCACCTGGAGTTCTGGGGCAGCATGGATACAGTACTGGGGATCGAACCCAGGTCCTTGCACTTGCCAGGCAGGTGCTTAGAGTGCCGAGTTATCTCCCCAGCCCATCTTTTCTTTTTATTGGTATGTTTTTGTAGTACACAATGATTACATTACCATCTCAATTTTAAAATCAATTTATCTTATACTTTTATTTCATAATTTTTTGTCTAATTTTTTCTTATGACTTATAATTGTGATTGTGGGCTTAGTGTCTCATTCCCTAACCAAGCTACAAGCACCAAAAGAACTGAGGCCACTCTTCATCTTAGTCACTATTCTATCCTCTCTGTGTAGAAAACTGCCTGCAGCATCAAACTTCATAGTATTTTGAGAAAAAGGGAAAAAAGAAGGGAGACAAACTGTGGAATTCTGGAAGTATAATTACATTCCTTACTCACACAGTAGAATAAGCAGGGACCAATAAAAGATGTAGAAATACACACCAAAGAACTTAAAGGGTATTTAGTGACTAATGTGTTAAAGAGTTATCGAAGGCATTATTTTATGTAGGTGTAAAAAGGAAGCAATGGCAACTACAATTACAGATGAGATTTCCCCCAGGAAAGTATATAACAAAAGAGAGAAAGACTGACAGTGTTGAATGTAAACATGAATATTTAACACATAATATTATACAACATATAATATATAATCTGCTATAACAATTCTAACAAATCTCAATCTACTGATTTTAACACTGGAAAAAGAAATGTTATTTGTTAGCAACATTCCACTATATGATTATATTTGAGAACTAATGAAATTTTCATTATAGGTAAGGTAAGTAGAAAATAAAAATCTAGAAACAAATTTTATACACTAACAATTCACTTTGGAATTGCTGATAATTTAGGACTTTAGACCCTACATCAAGAGAAGCTTAATGAAGATTATTTGAAATTGATTCTATAAGACTTTTGAAAGAAGAACTTCATACCCACTACATTTGAAAGGATTATGTTAAAAATTGAAGATTAAAAAGCTACTGAAAATACCTAATTTTTATCTTAAACTATTGACTTAAAAATTCTAGGCTGAGTGTGGTATAATCCTAGCGTCCAAGAGGCTGAGGCAGAATGATCACCATGAATTGAAGGAAAGCCTGGGCTAAGTGAGTTCAAGGCTCAACAGAGCAAAACAGAACATGTTAAAAAAATGAAATGTTCTTAACAGCTACCTTATTTAAGGAAAATCAAATAATTCTGCAATGTAAGAACAAATGAATTTTGTAAGTTGTTCAGAAATAACGGATTAGTTTCTTTATTAGCTTAAGTCTGTTTTTTAACAAAACAAAAATTAATTATGATATAAAAGTCTCACTAATATGTTTGCTTATCAGAGAAGAAGAGATAATCATTCAGGTTCCTTCTAACTCTAAAATGCTAATAGACCTATATACCCCCAAATCACAGAACTTATAGAATAAAATGTTTTCAGTCCTTTACTTAATTTACTGAGTGATGAAAACTAAACACTTCCTGAGTTTATAGTTCAAATCAGGAATAACCATATTTTTTTCTTAAAGGTCCAGAAAGTAAACCTGTTATACATTATGTGCATAGGATATCTGAGATAATTATTCAACCATCACAGCATGAAATCAGATACGGAAAGTACATAAAATATAAAACTCCTGGCTTCTACTTTCCTAAAGCAAGATACTGAATAAATACAAGCCTCTCAGCAAAAATTAGACTAACATAAGAAAACAGTAGAAATGAGGCTAGATGAACTAAAGATCCAGAGATACAGGAATATTCCCAGGTAAGCTGAGACCCCTGATATTTTCTTCCATGAGGGCATTTGCATAGTTTGGGTCGGAGTTAGGATTCAGCTTGTTTTAGACAGAGTTACTAGCGCTGCTTCAGATGTTCACCTAATACTGGAATGACACACTAGAATCTAGAAAAGACCCAAATACATGGCCAAGTAGTACATCTTCTTCAGACATGAAGCCCTGAAGAACGGAAACCTGGACCAAATGAGAAGAAGAAATACACCACTGTCTAGCATTTACAAGACACAATCCCAGCAGAGATGGTAGTCTACTTAATCTCTGATTGGTCTGAGATAATCAACACCTCATGTAGTCAATCTAACAGAGCAAAGAATAAATCATTCCAAAGAAAACAGTATCTTCTGAAAGAAAATAGCTTTTTACACTCAATATTAGTTTAATTTGGGGGCACAACATAAACACCATGAGAAAAAAGCCAAAGAAGCCAAATAATGTGGCAGGCAATCAAGAAAAAACCCAGAGAATTAATCTAACAAAGGAAGTAAAAGATCTATTCAATGAAAATTACAATACACTGAAAAAAAAGAGACTGGAGAGGATTTTAGAACATGGAAAGATATTCCTTGCTGCCGGATAGGAAGAACCAACATTGTGAAAATAGCCATACTCCCAAAAATTGTTACACAGATTTAATGTAATCCCTATCAAAACATCATCAACATACCTTACAGATTTACAGAAAATACTTCTAAAATGTATTTGGAACCAGAAAAGACCTAGAAAAGCCAAGGCAATCCTGGACAACAATGGCAAGGCAGGAGGCATTATAATCACTGACTTGAGATTATACTACAAAGCTACTATGATAAAATCATCATGGTACTGGCAAACAAACAAAACAAAACAAAACAAAATTTAAAAAGCAGACCCGAGGATCAATGGAACAAATTAGAAGATGCACATACAACTACAAATACACTTAGCTACCACACCTTTGACAAAGGGGCCAAACAAGTTCACTGAAAGAAAGATAGCTTCTTTAATAAATGGTGCGCGAAAACTGGCTCTGTACATGCTGAAAACTAAAACTATACCCAGGTCTATCACCATGCACTAAACTAAACTCAAAATGGATTAAGGATCTAAACATTAAAACAGAAACACTAAATCTCCTGGAAGAGACGATAGGTAGAAACCTTAAAGATATAGAGGTAGACAAGAGAGTTCATGAACAAAAACCAAACTGCACAGCAAATACTTCAAAGAATCAACAACTGGGATCTCATCTTATTGAGACGTTTCTGCACATCAAAAGAAATCACCAACAAGAGTGAAAAGACAACCCACAAGTTGGGGGAAAAAAAAAAACAAAAAACTTAACAAACAATCACTCAGACAAAAGACTTGTATCTAGAATATATAAAGAACTAAAAAAATTCAGCCTCCAAAAGT